AACGTCAGCCTTTCTGCTCCTATGATGCTGCTTGGCCTGCTGTGTTCATCCAGCCCTGCACCTTGTTGTCTCGGATTCTCCAGCATCTGCAGTTCCTACTATCTCTCACATTCTGTACCTATGTGCTTGCTGGTGGAAAGCAGAAACAGCAGTAGTACAGCACAGGAAAAGGCACTTTGACCCATGATGTTGTGTTGAACATAATACCAAATTAAACTCATCCCTTCTGCCTGCCCTTGATCCATATCCTTCCATTCCTTGCATGTTCATGTGCTTATCTAAAAGTCACTTAAATGCCCCTATCGCATCTTGCCTTCACCACCACCCCTGGCAGCGCGTTTCAGGCTCATGCACTCTGCTTTTAAAAAAAAATTGCTCCTCATCTCTTTTGAACTTCCCCCTCTCACCTTAGGCGTTTCAACTCTTGGGGGAAAATTATTCTAACCGTCAACTGTATCTATGCATCGCATAATTTTATAGACTTCTATCAAGTCTCCCTTCAGCCTCAGCCACTCCAGAGAAAACAACCTGAGTTTTTCTAGCCTCTCCTTACAGCTTGTACCCTCTAATCCAGGCAGCATCCTGGTAAACCTCTTCTGCAACCTCTCCAAAGCCTCCATATCCTTCCTGTAATGTGGCAACCAGAGTTGAATGTAATACTCTGTGTGGCCTTTACCAAAGTCTTTTAAAGCTGCAACATGACATCCTGACTGTTGTACTAAATTCCCTGACCAATAAAGACAAGCATACCTTATGCCTTTACGACCCAATCTACTTGCATGACTACTTTCAGGGAGCTATGGACTTGAACCCCAGATTCCTCTGTACATCAATGCTGTTCAGGGTTCTGTCATTAACTGTATACTTTCCTTAACATTTGATCTCCCAAAGTGCAGCATCTCACACTTAACCAGATTAAACTCCATCTGCCATTTTTCTGCCCATGACTACAACTGATCTATATTTCACTGTGTCCTTTGACAACCGCCTACAGTATCCATAACTCCAATAATCTTTGTATCGTCTGCAAACTTACTAACCCACCCATCTCTATTTTCATCCAAGTCATTTACATATATCACAAACAGCAGAGGTCCCAGTACAGATCCCTACGGAATACCACCAGTCACGGACCTCCAGCCAGAAAAATACCTTTCCACCCAACCTTCTGCCTTCTATGGGCAAGCCAAATCTGAATCCAAGTAGTCAAGTCACAGTGGATCCCATTCATCTTAATCTTCTGAATCAGCCTACCATGACGGACCTTGTTGTAACTTTTAATTTCATTGTTTGGGTGGTTAAGAAACAACAGTATGTCTGCTATGGAAACTGGATGTATTCTTTAACAAGCAGGCAATGTGCTCTGCCAGTTTACTCCCTGAACTGTAAAGGTGAAAATAATCCCCAGTGTTTCATTTTCGTAATATGTAATAATCAATCAATACACATTTCTGTTGTATCAAGAGTCAAACTTCCAAGTGCTGAGTGGAGCTGCATTTCAAAGGATAAAACAATTACACTGTGCTTAACAGCAAAATTATCTAGTGCTCTTTGCACATTGCATTACTGTGCAAATAAAGCCTTGGTCTGAAATCTGGGCCTGAGTTGACAGTAGGGTGAAGTGCAGATGTATAAACATACGCACATATATATTAGGAGCAGGAAAAGGCCATTTAGCCACTTTTGCCTGCTGCGCCATTTGATAAAATTATCTCTTCCACTCTTAAGTCCTTTATTAGTTAAGAATCAATCTAACTCTGCTTTTAAAAATTTCAATGACCTTGTCACCTCCAGTCTGTGGGGAAGAGAATTCCATAGATTTATGACCTACAAAAGATTTCTCATTTCTGTTTTAAGTGGAAAACCAGTTATTTTTAATGTATCATCTAGCCTCTATCGTAGGCTGAAACATTTGCTTAACATCTAGTCCCTTCAGAATCTTGAATGTTTCAATAAGGATTGCCTCATTCTTCTGAACGTCACTGGATATAATCCCACCATTTTTAAATTCTCTTTCCACTTAAAGTTAATTTAGTGAGTTATGGTAATGTCAATGTATTTCAACAAACAAACTTTGCATTGGGTTCCTAAAATACATTCATATTTATTCCACACAATATATTGTGACAAAGTTGTATCAAATTAGACTATAGAATCATAATTGTACTTGATTCAGCAAGGTGCAAATTTACAATCAGCACAAGAGGATGATAAAATAAGCAAATCTGTCCCTTTAATGTAATTCAAATTCTTAAAACTTTGTATTGTATGACTTGAGTACATAACCTAGCGTGATATTTTATTGCAGCAGTGGAGATGTCAGCTTTTGAAATAAGTTGATCAACCAAGACCCCATCTCCCTGTTCAGGTGGCTGTGAAAAATACTGTGGCATGATCTGAAGAAGAGATGTGTTTTCCAGTGTTATGACCAACTTTCTTCCATTAACCAACACTACCAACAACAGATGTTTGTTCACCTTTATTAGTTGTTTATTGGATATTGCTGTGTGCTAATTAGCTGCTACATTTGTCTGTGTAACGATGGTAAAACTTTTTATTGACAAATTCATTGGTGGCATTCTGACTTGATGAGGCTGTATATAATTATTTTTGAAAATGGTTTGGTTAAAGTTGTTTGTGAACTTTATTTATTTGGCAAATTCCTTTCTGTACTTAATGATTATTTTGCACAATTTATATTCTTTTTTACACTTTTGATTTTTCAGTTTATTTAGACCTGTTCAATCCTAAATCATAAAGACAAAATTTAAGAACCATTCAAATGAATTATCTAATTTACTGTTCATGTTATTTGTGCTGTATCCTAATTGATGCCAATGTACATTCAGTACCTAGTTCTCATTTCTTGCATAAGCTGTATTTTCCCACTTAAACTCCTCCGCAAGCTTTTCCTATAGGATTTTTAAAACTGACTAACCTGTAGCAATTTTCTGTGGCACGATTTAGCAATTTAATGGGAGTTTGTGGTTAATGATACTAATCTGTAACTGTTAGCTAACATGTACTTTCTTTTTTTAAAGTAATTTAAAATGCTTAAAAATCCTCTCTATTTATGTTGCTGAAATTTGTCACATCCAAAGTCAGAGTTCAGTGATTGCTTGGTCTTTGTTAAAACATTGTTGCATGAAGGGTTCAGCTTCTCTCCAAGGTCTTGTATTGTTCAAACTGTGCTCAGAGCTAACTGAAGTATGAGCAAAGTCAATTTAACTAGTTACCTCAAGTACTAATGCTTCTTTTAAATCTTTTGAATTATGATGTTTTCTTTTCTTTTGGCAGCTTGCCCATATGTTTTGAAAATACAATTTTTAAAAGCTTTATCATGTGAAATTTTTGTTTTTTCAGATGGGGCATTCCGTGTTAACAGAATTTGTTTAGAATGAATATGACCAAGATTGACTGACATTTAGGAAGTAATTATAAGTTAAATGTAACGTTTAGACATTAATTGGAATGCGCAAACTGCTGAAACCAGTGTTTTTTTAGCTACACTTTCTCCCCATCAATACTGCTAGGTACTTGGAAAACACTAAGGAGGCAAAAGCCATATACCTTTTATTCAGCCACCTGCAGGTTCCTGTCTCCTCCTCAATGATGTTAAATGAAAAGAACTTACTGTCACCTTGCTGTGAAACTCCACAATTCCACCGCGATAATGGCAAGTACAGGACCCCCACTGTAGTTTGCCAAACTGTAGAACAATCCCCATGCCAATAATGCATTAGGACTTCTGTTAAATGCAAAATATTTTGCTCTGAGCACAATTCAAATTTCTCCCCAGCTCCAGCCATTGCTTGTTATTGTCTTATTGCAATCCTCTACTTAGAGTCATTGAGTTGTACAGCACGGAAACAGACCCTGCGGTCCAACTTTCCTTGTCAACCAGATATCCTAGATTTATCTATTCCCATTTGTCAGCAGTCGGACCATAACCCTCTAAACCCTTCCTATTCATGTACCCATCTAGTTGCCTTTTAAATGTTGTGATCGTACCAGTCTTCTCCGCTTCCTCTGGCAGCTCATTCCACACAAGCACCACCTTCTGTGTGAAAATATTGCCCCTTAGATCCCTTTTAAATCTTTCCCCTCTCACCTTAAACCTATGCCCTCTAGTTTTAGACACCCCAACCCTGGGGGAAAAAAACCATGGCTATTCACTCTTTCCATGTCCCTCATGATATTAAAAATTCTAAGGTCACAGCTCTGACGCTGTAGGGAAAATAGCTCTAGCCTATTCAGCCTCTCCCTATAGCTCAAACCCTCGAACCCCTTGTAAATCTTTTCTGCACCCTTTCAAGTTTAACAATGTCTTTCCTATTAGCAGGGAGACCAGAATTCAATGCACTATTCCAAAAGTGGCCTAACCAATGTTCTGTACAGCCACTATGCCATCCCAACTCCTATACTCAGTGCACTAACCAATAAAGGCAAGCATACCAAATACCTTTGTTACTACCCTGTCTACTGCGATTCCACTTTCAATGAACTTGAACCTGCACCCCAAGGT